AGCAGACCTGCATGTTCTGCCTGTTGAACAAGCACATGATAATTTTAAAATGAGTTAAGTTTAAGGCTGGAGACCTTAGGCTGCCCTCCTCCTTCACATCTATATCAGATGGTGTGGTGCACCATTGTGAAGCAGCAAAATCCTGGTGGAAACAAACAGGTCCAGCAGCTGACAATATGAGTGCAAGAAGTTCAAAGTTTCTATGTCCTGTTGCAGCCTGGCTTAAGAGCATTGCATACGTCTGTTGTTTTTGTTTAAAAAAAAAGTAAAGTACCATTATTGAATTTTATGCTCCATGGGGCAGTTGAAGTTGTTCACCTGCGATCTGTGAATATGAAGGGTTAGTGTGGTCAGCACTATGCCCAGCCACCTTTACTTTCCCTAACGTTAACCAAGTACCTATCAGAGTGAACCCAGGATCCAACTCAAGACTTTTGGGTTATCAGACAAATGCTCTACCATTCAACCATGCCATCCATTATTTTTGTTTAGGGTATAGTAGAATGTTGCATAATCATAAAGTTATAGGATAATTTTATTATGATCCATATTTTTTTTAGACAAATACATACTTGGGTAAAGAAATTCAAAGTTTGAAGACCCAAATTAATGAGATGAAAAACATGCTGAAGTTGACCTTTGATCTACAAATGGACATCCAGAGGTCAATCAGACAAGAGGTAGCTGCTGCCATGAACCAAACCACAGGTAAGTGTCCACTACAGGTCATCAGTTTTACATTCAGCATAGGTAAAATGTTTTCTTTTGGTTCTTTTTAACTATTCAATTGTTTCCAATTATTTCATTAAAATGCATGTTGTCACCTCAGTTTCTATTTCATTTAAAATAGTAAGTTTTTTTTTTCATGCACTTTTTACAAGCTTTCACTTTGGTCACATTATATGTTATAATAAATACTTTGGTCACAATGTTCAATGGATGAGAGGGTTTGTTGTCAAATTTGTAACTCAATTTTCACTAATTTCTAATGCAGTAAATTCTTTTGAATTTTCCAGATAAATTTATGTCCTTTGATAAAACAAGAATATGACAATTTAAATCAAACTAGATATAGGATTAATAAAAACAAAATTTAATTTTAACTGTACCAATTACAAAAAGGGAGTTAAGAGACTAAGTAGTAGCCATTTTTTTCTTTTTTTTCTATCATACTCATAGATAAAGAAAAGCTATTTTTTAGAATTATTATTTTTAGTGCATTTATGTTGTGTGATCACTCATTATCTGTTGCTTTTTAAACTACTTATTAACATTTTAGCCTTACTGGGCTACCATTTTAAAATATTTGATAACAATTAAAACACATTTTCAGCTGTTACACCACCAGCTCCCAGTCGACCTGTGACAGACACTCATTGCCTGATCTGTTTGGACCGTCACACAGACACAGTGCTGTACCAGTGTGGTCACATGTGTGTGTGTTATGGGTGTGGCCGTGACTTGCTGTCTCGTGGGCACAACTGTCCTGTTTGCAGGGCACCCATTAAAGATGTCATTAGGGCGTACAAAACTAACCCTGAGTAATGAATGCCCTCTGATGCAAAATTTTGTTGCGTAATTTTATTTGAAAGTAGATCTTAAGAAAGTTTTAAAAAATCAAACTTTTGTTTTAACACATTAGTTCTCAAGTTCTAACTATAATTGAAAAGTTAATTATATTTTATTATCTAGATAATTTAAAACTATCTGCAAACATTGAAAAAAACAATTACTTTTTATATGTGGATATTTATGTAATAATATGTACATTTTTGTGTGAAATGAATTCAGTGAGGGCTATATTTCTCACAAGTCTCATTTAAATTCCTTGGGTTTGATATTTTTTTTACAACTTATCACTCACAAAAAATAACTTATTTTTCTTCTTCATACAGATTGTTAAGTCGTTCAAACATTCCATTTCCTGTTAACATGAAAAAACCTGTAATTTATATTGTTAAGTAATATTAAATTAAATATAATTGTGGCTTTAGTTGACCATTTATATATGGTAGTTATAGCTGTAAAGCAACTTATCAATGAGTTATTTTAAAATATCAAATATATCATTTTAATGCACTAATTTAAAAAGTGTTTTTTATGGTTTTTTTTTTTTTATAAATTATTAAAATATGTGCCATTTGTTTTCTTTCGTGATTAACTTAATGAGGTCTAATTAAAATGTAAATGCAACTACTTTTGATTGATATACACTTGATGTAAAATGCAACATTTTAAAAATAAAAATAATATACCTTATTGAATAAGCTTTAAAACATTCACAGCTTCAAAACAGTGCATGAAATGGTGACAGGTTAAACAATCTTTAAAAAAATTATCTCCTGACAAACAAAATCTCCTAAGATTAAACAAAATATGTATCATGAAGAAATTACTTGCATGAAATATTAATACCATACACACTGTCACCAATTCCAAATATGCACAAAGCAACATTTCATTCAGGGGTCGTCCATAAATGACGTCACACTCACAGGGGGAGGGGTCCATAATTTTGAGACGGTGTGTGACGAGGGGGAGGGGGTTCTAAGTGTGCAACGTCCCACTTTTACATTATAAAACAGCAATGTTAGAACACGAATTTTAGACGTTATTTCGCGTTTTAGAAAACTGTTTTAATAAATTGCAGTAGGAATTGATTAAAATACTTTATTTTGACCGAGTTCAGGCAAGATTTTGGAAAAATATCGATATTTAAAAAAAAATTCAATTGCAATTTTGAGGGAGGGGGAGGGGGGGTTGTAGGCTGAGGTGTGACGTCATTTTAGGGGGGGGCTGGCTTTTTGAGACAATGTGTGACGGGGGGGGGGGGAGGTAAAAATCGCCAAAAAAAGCGTGACGACATTTATGGATGCCCCCTCAATAAAAGAAAACTCCACACACTAAGTAGTGTTGCTGCTTGCACTATTTCTTTATTTCTTTAAAAAAAATTATCAAGGTATTAACTAATTGTTCAATACTAAGTTGAAGCATTTCTGAAAATATAATGTTGATTGATGCAAGATATTATTCTGGTTTTTAGTTTTTAAAGTTTTATTAAAAGATTTCTCATGGTAAAGATGTCATCTCATGCGAAGTATTTTTCTACGTCATCACAATATATAAAACCCCATATTATACCAGAGTATTATATTATAAATGACACTAGTTTTGAGCAGTGTTTCTTCCAGACTTTTTTCTCCGGGGGGGGGGGGCACTTGAAATTTTCGGGGGGGGGGGAGCGGTAAACTTTCTTCGGGGGGGGGGGGGGGGCGGACACTGTTAAAAGTATATATTTTCTATATAAATTATATAAATTTCATTTCGTTCGGGGGGGGGGGGGCGGTAAAATTTTTTCGGGGGGGACTTCACCCCCCCGAAGAGATGCCTGGAAGAAACTCTGGTTTTGAGTCAAAAGATAAGAGGTAATTGTCTAGAATAATAAAGTTCAAACCCGAAGCTGTCATTATTCAAAGACAGTAGCTTTTTTGTATATGTATACATAACTATAAGCTTTCTATGCGTATAATAAACGAACACATTCATGGCACTCTTTGTCAAAACACCACTACCATTTCCAATGTAGTGCATAGATCTAGGTCTATACATAGTAGCTAGTCTATAGGCCTAATTTAGATTAATCCACTTTATATTGGTCCACATGCATAATAAAAAAAATAATAATCCTATATATTTAAATAAACCGGTAGTGATCTCCCCTAAACTTTCTCGAATATTCTTATATAAAACAACAGGGGATGGTAACTGGGGATATAGTTATGATTTTTAATCCATTTTAAATACTTAAACTTTTAAAAATAGAATAGAATCTCATAAAAAAAACATTGCGCACCAAGCAAACGCCGAATAAAAACGCGTATAATAGTGCGCAATATTATTAGTACTTTAAAAATTTACATTAGTTTTTTGAGAAATCGGAAGTAGCGTAAATTACTACTTCCAGTCAACGGAAATTACTCAAAATTTAACAGAAGGTAGAGAATTAGATCTTTTACTTACATGTGAAATTTCATTTATCTATCTGAAATAGTACTCAAGTTATAGGCTTTTGAAAAATTCAAAGTAGGAAAAGTACCACTTCCGGTTATCGGAAATCGCTCAAAAGTTGATACGGATCTACGATTTTGATAAAATACTTATATATGAAATTTCATCCACCTAGCTGTAACGGTACTCAAGTTATCGTGTTTACACACGGACAGACAGACAGACAGACAGACACACACACACACAGACATACGGACAAGATTGCAAAATTATGTTTTTCCGTATCAGTGAGGTGTAAAACGTCGAGATTTGTAAAAATCTCGATTTTTTTTTTTTGCACGATTACAATACTTTCTCTATACTACGTATATACGAGAAAGTAAAAATGTAATGCTATTTCAGATTACTAAGCCATACTTTTAAAATTCTAAGGCCTAAGTGTTGTAAATGTAATTATTAGTAACTGACCAAGAAAAAAATTAAAAACAAATCTAACAAAACAAATTATTTTTATTATTATTATTACAAGCTTTTATTTAACTCACTTCCTCGTCAGTCTGTCGTCAGTCTGTCTAGACCGAAACGCCGGAGTGAAAATTCGGAAACTTCTACTTGACCGATACGATTCACATTTGGCACGTGGGTCAAGACAGGAAGACAATGCAATTTGAAATTAAATTTGACTTAATTGGATGCCTAATTAATTTTTTATGAATTAATTAAAATTTGGACCGAATTAGTAGGCATGTCTATCCAACCACACCACACGCGTCATCACGTTCAATAGCTGCGCCATTACGTTCAATGGCTGCGCCATCAGGTTCAGTAGGCGCGCAATGGTTTTTAGTCTATTGTAAATAAAACATGTAAAGTACTGAAAAAAAAAAACCGGGAGTGATCTCCCCTAAACTTTCTCGAATATTCTTATATAAAACAACAGGGGATGGGAACTCGGACTATAGACATGATTTTTAATCCATTTTAAATACTTAAAGTTTTAAAAATAGAATAAAATCTCGTAGACAAAAGAATTGCACACCAAGTGAACGCCAAATAAAAAAGTGCATAATAGTGCGCAATACTATTAGTACTTTAAAAATTTACATTACTTTTTTGAGAAATCGGAAGTAGCGTAAATTACTACTTCCGGTCAATGGAAATTACTCAAAATTTAATAGAAGGTAGAGAATTAGATCTTTTACTTACACGTGAAATTTTATTTATCTATCTGAAATAGTAGTCAAGTTATAGGCTTTTGAAAATTTCAAAGTAGAAAAAGTACCACTTCCGGTTATCGGAAATCGTTACAAAGTTGATACGGATCTACGATTTTGATAAAATACTTATATATGAAATTTCATCAACCTAGCTCTAACGGTACTCAAGTTATCGTGTTTACACACGGACAGACAGACAGACACACAGACACACAGACATACGGACAGAATTGCAAAGCCCAGTTTTTCAGACTGGATTACGCATAAGACCTCTTAATTTTGATAAATCTGGATTGATAATTTTTGCCCGATTAAAATAAGTCCTCTATACTTCGGATGTGATGAAGGACTGAGGTGTAATACGGTGAAAAATGTTAAAATTTCAAGTGATTTTTGTGCACGATTACAATACTTTCTCTATACTTCGTATATACGAGAAAGTAAAAATTCATAAAAAACAGAGAGAAAAGCGTGGGTGTCTTCTTAAACATTAGTAAAGGTATCCAATAGATACTTAAGTGACCCACGCTTTTCTTTATAGTTATTTAAATAGTAGTCTACAATTTATTTTCTACTTTTTAGTGCATTATTACATAAAAGCTTGTTATTAAAACGTTTTTTATGAATTTTATTCTGTCTTTGCAGCTAGCAACAGGAAATAAAAGCGTATATTATTTCTTTACATTAATATGTGACGTCATTTATTTCTTTTAATAGCTTTTCTGTTTACTCTCATTATGTTGATTTGATTTCTCAGAGGTACGTGTTTTTAGTAAAAAGATACATTGGGCTCAGCGTTTCTTCTACACTTTTATCTCCGGGAGGTGGGGGGCGGTAGAATTTTTTCAGGGGGGGATGGTGGGCCGGAAGAAACTCTGATTGGGCTCTGCTAAGTGGAGATTTAACTAGTGACTTATCGCCAGTTTACTCGTTAGATGGGGGTATCTATGAATGACGTCACGCTTTTTAAAAAACGATTTTTACCCCCCCCCCCTCCGTCACACATCGTCACAAAAAAGCAGATCCCCACCTAAAATGAAACCACGCCTCAGCGTACAACCCCCCCCCCCCCCCTTACAATTACAGTTAAATTCTCTTAAAACATCAATATTTTTTTCCAAAATCGTGTCTGTACTCTGTTAACATAGAGTATGTTAATCTAACATTGCTTTTTATAATGCAAAGGTGTGACGTCACACCCCCTGAACAACCCCCCCCCCCACCTCCCCCCCACACACACCCCTCCCCCTCATCACACACCGTCACAAAATTACGAATCCCCCTCCCCCTATGAGTGTAACGTCATTTATGGGCGACCCCTTGACAAATTACTGAACTGTGCAGAGTATCTGGCCATCAGTTGAGTTTGTAATAAGAGAAAGCTTGACTGACTTCTATTTTAATATTGCTTTGCAAGTATTGTTTTTGTTTATCAACTGTTAAGTTGTCAGCATGTGGACAGTGGAGAAAGCATGTCTGGCCCGCTAGCCAGTTTACTAGTGAGTGCCCTGACGCCATGGAGTCATGAGCTAGGCCTGGTTGACCTTTAGGTTAGGTCGGCTGCTTGGTTGTGGTCAATGTATAGCAGGGTATGCGTATCGCTGACTGCTAGTTGACCAAGCTTTGCTAAAAAAAAAGTCCTGAGCTCTGCCTTCAGTTTACCTAGACGTCCGTGGCCAGTTTGTGGTCAGTTTTTACCAGTGGAGAAAGCTTGTCTGGCCCACTAGCCAGTTTACTAGTGAGTTCGCTGATGAACTGATGAAGTCCCGAGCTCAGGACCTGGTTGACCTTTAGGTTAGGTCAGCTGCTAGGTTGTGGTCAATATATAGCAGGGTATGCGTGTCGCTGACTGCTATTTGATCAAAGCCCTGACAAAAAAGTTTTGAGCTCGGCTGCTAGTTTATCTAGACTTCAGTTGCCCGTTTGTGGCCAGTATTTACTAGTGGAGAAACCTTGTCTGACCACTGGTTTATCAGAGCCCTGCCGGTCCGGTAGACGCTGTTTGCCCTACCTTGACATCAGTTGCCAGTTTGCGATCAATGTAAAGAAAGCTTCCCTGACCACTAATTCACCAGCGTCCCCGCTGCTAGTCTACCCTTATGTTTGTTGCCTGTGTGTGGACAATGTAATTAGTGGAGGAAGCTTGTCTGGCCCGCTAGCTAGTTTACTCGAGAGTGTTCTGATGCCCTAAAATCCTGAGCTCGGCCTGGTTGACCTTTAGGTTAGGTCGGCTGCTAGGTTGTGGTCAATATATAGCAGGGTATGCGTATCGCTG